GCTTGTAGTGACGCAGGGGCGCTTATTTAGAAAGACTGACTGACTGATGTTCCTTAAGAACAGCCTACTGTGTGGCATTTCAACATGTCTCAGCTCCATGCCCCACTATCTGCAGAGATTTGGGGAGAATTATCCTGGCACCAGCATACACGCTTGGCCCAAAAGGGACAGAGAAGGTACAGAATGAGAACAGGCTTTGACCTCCAAGCTCCTGAGGCAAACACAGCAGCCAGCACCCAAACACTGGACAACAGACACAGGCTGCGGAGAATGGGGAGGAAACAGCTCGGAGAGTGGAGCTCAGAGCCCAGAGGACTCTCTCTCCTGGAGCCTCAGGGAAGGAAGTGGCAAAATGCCCAGCTGGGTTTCTGCAATATTATGGCTGTGGGGCTGCCATGTCCCACCAGTCCTCCTCCTTGGGAGTATCTAGGGCAGCTCAGCCCACACCAGCCCCTGCCACCTGCAGCCCAGAGGAGGGGCAGGTGACCTGCCTTTGGGTGCACAGGTGCTGGGATAGACAGGAGGAGCTGCTCACCGTGAGCCTGGACCTAATCTAAATATCAATCAGAGGAGGCCATAGTAGTGAGGCTTGGTGGGGGGTTGGAAGGGGCAGGTTTATCCTGCACGTGCAAGGACATAACTCAGGGCCAGAGGATGAACTGAACACGGCCACAAATTCCTTGACACTTGTCTCATCAAAATTGAACCTAGTCCTCCTCCTGTTGAATGTGAGCTGGTCTTAGCAACTCTCTTTCAAGGAGCCATATGTGGCAGAAACGCTGCATGCTTCTGAGGTCAGTATGAGGGACAGTGTGGCCTCCATGCAGTTCTCCTTGGACTCCTCTTCCTGCAGGGGTGTCTCCCAGGGCTTCACTGTGGCCCTCACTGCTGTCCAGATTCCACAACGCCTGTTGTTTCCCAGCCAGGGTTTGTCAGCCTCCTGGAGATACAGGGAGCTGCAGATATTCCATCCTGGTTACTGTGTGCAAGGCTGGACCCTTCTCCTTACAGTCAAGAGCTCTGCATTGGTTTCCGGTGGCTACTACGACACATGTCCACAAACTCAGTGAGTTAAAAATAGCAGAAATGGGCTTGGCAGCTGTAGCTGAGCAGCTAGGACACCAGCCACATACACCAAAGCTGGTGGATTTGAACCCAGGCTGGGCCTGCCAAACAACTATGACAACAAAAACAACAACTAAAATAGCCGGGAGCTGTGGCGGGTGCCTGTAGTCCCCACTACTTGGGAGGCTGAAGCAAGAGAATCACTTAAGCCCAAGAGTATGAGGTTGTTGTGAGCTGTGATGCCACAACACTCTACCAAGGGCAACATAATGAAACTCTGTCTCAAATAATAATAATAATAACAATAGCAGAAATATATTCTCTGGAATTAAGTTGTCAGCAGGGGGATCCTCTGTCCCTCCCTCCCAGCTTCCCGAAACGGCTGCCATTGGGGGTCCTGGGCATCACCCCGCCTCTGCCTCTAAGAAGGACACATCATTTGATTAGGGGGTCCTGGGCCTCACCCCGCCTCTGCCTCTAAGAAGGACACATCATTTTATTTGGGGGTCCTGGGCCTCACCC